ATGCAGAGCTTCGCAGAACACTGGTGTTACAGAGAAGAACGTGGTAGTGACCTGCGAAACGGGCTCGTTTCCTGCTCCTCCGTGTGAAAGCCGTCAGTACCGAGGTGAAATGTCAAAATCCAGCACGGCTGTCAGGTGATCCGAGTCTTTTGGAGATGCTTACCCTGTCTTTCCGAGTGCAGAATTTTTGGGGTGATCTTTCCAAGACAGCATTGACCATGGCTTCTTTTTTGTTTGAGTTTCGCCTGTTTTCTCGTTCACAATTCTGCAAACGCTCACACGAAATGCCTCCTGCTCTGGGAGGGTGAAGCCGGGCGGCGTGGCCGGGACGTGCCTGGGTCCCTGTGTCCCTGCTCCCCGAAGGCAGGGCCAGGGAAAGCTCCCCGCTGCGCCAGCGGGTCAGCGGAGCTCGGCAAAGGGTGCAGAACAGGGGATTGAAAACGAAGACTAAAATGGAGAGCCAGTGCGGGGTGAAAGATTTACTTCTGCAGTCGAAGCAGAAACAAATGTGTACTTGCCCTCGTATTTCAAATAAGACTTAAAAGTTTGTCTTTGTATAGTAGCTGCTGTTCACTAAAAAGCTTATACTTCTTCCTGGTGTTTTACCGATAATTTAAACAGAGATCTGCACGTCTAAAATGTGTCTGCCCCAAGAAGTAAAGATTAATGTGAAAAATAAAGTCAGAAAAGCCCATGTCTGTGTGGCTGGGCAGTAGTAACGTGACACGGAAAGGTTCCCCTCCGCTCCGCCCCTGCCGTGTCGCGGGGCAGGAGCAGCTGCTGGGTGCTGGCTGGCACCGGAGCAGGCATGACGCGTACGGGGAGGCAGCTCGCTGCCACCTGCCAGGGGAAGGAATAGAAAACGCAAGCAAAACAGGCATTTTCTGACAGCAAGAAAGCAAATAAAGTAAATATTTTCTTACAGACACATTTTTATTAATTCCTATTTCCAACTAAACACTCCAACAATCTGACCAGCAGCTATTATGAAGTGCAGTCATCTTCAGGAAATGCCTGGAGCAAAGGGTGTGGGGCGTGGGTCAGAGCGAGGAATTGAGGTGAGCGATTACGAGGTTTTTAAGGTATGGTTTGGGGTTTATTTCTTATTTCCTTGGAAGCTGCACAAGGGTGTAAAAGCCATGTGTGGTGGCTTCCATGCAGCGTGCCGGTGTCCCTG